ATTCATAAAACAGAGTCAAAACACTATTCAACTGGGATTAAAAAGGTAAACATGAAAACTTATTTAGAACCTGACTATTTAACACTAAATACATCCATTAAATCACGAGCCCATAAATGAAAAGACTTGTATGTTCTCAATTACATGCCAGTCACATGATCCGTAAAAATTTAAATGTGTAAAACATCAAATCTTGATGAACTTGTATGGTATTTACCCATATTTAATTAATTAATTACCTTTCATGTTATTCATCAATGTTTATTTTATATAACAGTAATAAACAACATATTGTTGAACATTTGGATACATTTCTTTATTTAAATTTTGTGTAATCGACCCTGAGTCACATCATGTGTATCCATGCTACCGATACTATTGGACAGCCTAGGTCAAAATAGGTGAAACTGTTTCGATAATGTCGTTTAAATTCAAATTCGGTAACTTTATGGATTACTGTAAATCAACATGCAGCTAATATGATATTACAAATGATAATACCTGTAAAAAGAAACAAAATTATACACGTTCATATTGTAGAGAAACAAATAAAGGAATGTGAGTATAATAGAAAAGAACAAAAATGGATAGAAATTAGTATATGACAGTGAAAATAATGATAATATTGTTCGCAACGGGGACAGTCGAGTTTGAGATGATAGACTGATATTTTTCAAATTAACTATTTACTATATTATTCTCAGATTTTATTGAGATGCTCTGTAATTTAGTGTCAAATACATTCGATTGTCCCCAGTGGTGTTTTGTTCACTAAACTATCAGAAAGGATCGTTCCAGTCAAAGAAGTTCTTCCCACCATTATGAAACAAAAAAAGTTACAAAAGGATTTCCACTGCCTTTTATTTTGAGTCGTCTGATAATGTCTCAAGACATTGAGTTGCACTATTTCTAGGACCCCTACCAAGGAGACGTGAAGGACCAACAGATGCCAGTCCTTTACATCCTTCTTTCGTACCATAACACTATATCGTACGCTGACCACATCTCCGCCTTTCCCAACTGGTCCCAGCATCGGCAAATAACGCACGACATGGAATTCGCTGGAACAACATTCGTAAGATATGTCCAAGCCAATGAAGTCGGTGTTCCAATACAGTGATACCGATTGGATTATCGTCACTGTGCCCGAACACACGATGCCGGACCTCTTCACTAGTAACATAGTGTTGCCAATGGATCTCAACAATCCCTCGGAAACAACGATGATCGAACACAGAGAGTTGTCTAACATCCTCAACTCAGAGACCAGGTCGCACAAGCATAGAGTAAAATTGCTCTCACTGACGCGTTGTAGATTCGACCTTTTACAGCCAGACTAACATCATGAAAGCGCCAAAGGTGTCCCAGATTGGCATAAGCCACTATGGCTTTCACTATACGTGCATTGATCTCATCACTCACGCCAACACCAGCATTTATGTAGCTACGCAGATACACGAACTTCTCGACTACTTCTATCTACTCACTACCCAGGGTGAGTGCAGGATTAGAACCCTTCCAGTCTTGTAGAAGTACTTTGCACTTCGAAGGTGCAGAGCACATGCCATACCTACGGACATTGATTGCCAACTGATTAAGTGCTGATTGCGTGGCTTGGGTATTATTGCACAGTAAGACAATATCATCCGCACACTCAAGGTCCAGAAGTCTTTCTCCAGGTAACAGATCCACACCGCTATTACTTACATCCATCAGAGCTGTTCCCAGAATGTCATCGATAGCAAAGTTGAAGAGAAACGGTGAAGTGGAGCAGCCTTGTCGTCTAACCCCACTGCTTCAATGGAACAGTAGAGAGAGGTGGTTATATGTCTTCACTCTGCCTGAGATGTTTGTATATCGGGTTTTTAAGATGTTGGTCGACTTCTCAGGCACACGCTTCCTCAATAGACAATCCCAGAAAACAGTGCGGCTCAATGAATTAGACGCGACCCTAATGTCAAGAAGCACTACGATTGTTGGCCTGTGATAAGTATGACGGTGTCCTGACATTTGGTGGAGGAAGGAGATATGCTCAATGCATCCTCGACCGGAATGGAAACCAGCGTGATCCTCGTGAGTCAATCTTTCTTAGGTTTTGAACAATCTATGAGGTTTGACGAAAGCCAATAGTTTGGACGCAATCATAAGTGGACTTATTCTCCGATAGTTGTTACAGGGACGACGTGAACCCTTTTTAAAGATAGGGACAACTATCGACTCATTCCATGATGTTGGAACACTCTCCAATTGTCATACCTGTGTAAATGAATCAGTTAGTTCCTTAACCAGAAAGTCGCCGCCATCTCTATATTGGACGGAGGTGAGTCATTAGGGTCTGGTGATATGTAGAGCTTCAACAGTTGGAGTTCCTTGCGGACTTCCGCCTCATTTGGTGGATCAGTCGTCACCCGCCATGGTGGGCACGGCAGTATGATCTATGTAGCCGGGACGGCAGACCAGTTGAACTGCTCCTCGAAAAGTTTCCCATCGTCCAAGACGTCGGCAGGTGTTATTGATTGACATCCCGTTAGCCTCACAGTTTGTTTCACGCCAGATATCATACAGCCAGTGACTCTGGTGAATTGAAAGAGCTCTCACTACCAAGGTTTTTGGTCCTTACTCAAGCTTGGCACAATTACATTACGTAACAATCTTCGTTTGTGGTCAGTTGAACTACACCGAAACGCTTCAATAAGCTACAATGAGCCTGTAAAAACCCAATGCTTGTAAGCGAGATTTTTCGCGAAACCGCGAGACTTAACCCGCAATTTTATTGTCTTCATGCGACTGCAGTCAATGCTCATCTATACCTTTCAGTAGGATGGTAGTTAACCTTGAACCTAGCTCGGTTTGATATTTAGTTGCAACAGAAGCTGCAACCAATTTGATGACGTCGATCCATATAGGACGATAAATTGCTGGCCACTGAAACGTAAAGTAAAATTAGTTCAAACAAGGGCATGATCAGAGTCCAAATAGGTACTCCAAAAGGAGCGGCAGTCTTGTACACATCCACGCCAGCGGTAACTGACCGTGATGTAATCAGTCGAGGCTTGAAATGTAGAGTGAGGACGCCAGATAGCACATCGGCGATTACTGTACCGGTAGTTAGTGCTAGTCAGAAACATGTTGTAATATGCACAAAGTTGCAGTAAACGGTCACAGTTATCTGACCTGCGAGCAACAAGTCCCTATCGTCCGTCTGAACGATTCTTTTCTGTCAGTGCTGCCCCAGCTCTAGCGCTTAGTGAGACACCAACAAAACCAGACGAATTTGCCAGTGTCTTCGGAGAGCGAATTTGTAGTATTTCACTATTCTTGAATACGGGTCTCGGATAGACATCGATACTAAGGCTTTCGGTTGTCCTCACCTGTGTTCTCCTTCACTACAATACTACCTGGGTGCCCAAACCGAAGCAGGTGGTTTCCTTAGGGGACCATAACCAAAACCTTTGACCTAGAGGTCTAATTCACAAAACCGTGAAGGGACGATAGAAGATGCAGTCTTATGGCAGCCGGTGATCAACAATGGGTTCGTAAACTATTTGTTCCCTCAGAATGATGGAGTCCATGTCCACCATTGGTTTTAAACCAAGATTTTTTCAGCTCCCCTAGGTGGATCTTCCGAACCCATTAAAAACAGAGTTTCAAACTTCCAGCGAAAAGTTTAATTTCGAAATATACCGCAATTTCATCACCAATTCGCAATGTTTACTACCCCAGTGGTGTTATCTCACATGTCTATTTTTAACAGCGAAGTTTTTAGAGAGATGTTTGTGGATGTTGGATTCCCAACAGAATAAGATTATTTGACAATAGATTAGGTAAGTGAAACGTTCTCTCGTTACATTATCCATGATAGCCATAACAAAAAGAACTTTTACGTGAAATACATGTGCAGTATGAAAATCCATCCACAGTGACCGACAAAATACTCATCAGCATGAGAAAGGTTTCACAAAATGTACTGCATTTAATGGTTCAAAAAACCATTAGCTGTGGATCTTTCGTTCATGCTTAGATGATAGATGGATTTTATCCAGCCAAAAGGTGGCCGACGGATTATAATCATGAGCGGTCGTACGTTATTTTTGTGTTATGTAAAATATTATTATCGGTCCAGTCACACATTTTGCAATCTAGATGGAAAAGTCTACATACTTACTTTTGTACTAAATGTATATCATTTATAACGTACTAAAGATCCAGTTGACTCATTCAGTTATTAGTACGAGATTCCACAATAGTGACTTTCAGAATATGCATCTTCTCGGTTATTATGATAAATTTTCGTAGACAAATCAACTCATTAAAAAAATGGAAGATTGATATATTTTTATAAAATCACCATACTTGTTGAAAGTAGACTCTTCGTGGCGGGGTTAAAACTGCGTTTCTGATTATTCATAGAACGAAAGAAGTGATGAGTAGGTAGTAACATTAAATCGAACAAACTTCACGCCCTTAGAAATTCCATTCATCTGTATTAATATGCTCAATTACTGAAGTAAATAATTTTCCATATGTAATGATGGCCTACTATGCATGTGATTCTATCACTCGTCACTTTGTGAATTATATATAAACCCATTAAAAGATTCACGCTTCGAGTAGGCTGATAACTATTATCCCAAATTCGTTAATTTGATTTACATTTACGGTCTGTCTGCTCATATACCAATACCTGAAATAAATTCTCACAATAGATCTCACATTTGACATTTCGCTACCACCATTGCACAATGGGGTTAACTCAAGTATGATATACGTAACTAAATGGGGAATTATATTTCAATATCGTCTTCATCAAGGAGCTACATAGGAAAACTGAAACCTTCAAATGGAAAAAGGTAAGTTAGGATTCCAAGACATTACCAATGAAGAAAGATGAAAGTTATTAACCCGCTTCACAAACTTCAGTACTGAATGAGTAACTGAATATCCAGACTGCAAAGTGTCAGGAGGACACCACAACTAAAAAGTAAAGATAAAGAACTTACGATGATTTAGAATGAGACATGTTAAATCCCCGTCTGTGTAGAGAAAACAATGAAAACCTTGTATCAGTAAAATCATTTTATGTACATTATAGTATGTATACAACTTAAGTTGTATTAGGTGAACTGTTCTACATTAACTGCCACTTAGATGGAACAATTGTTTTAACTGGTTCTTCACTCTTGTTTAAGTCTCCCAAAGACTCAAGTTTCTTCTTTTGCAACTCTTCATAGTCGTGCTGCCAATAAGCTTTGTTTCGTGGATGCACCATTCTCGAGTAATATGGATCCCATACCATACCTTGACGGATTTTTGAAAGAATCTGTAACAAAGGAATGAAAATCATCAGTAAGACATGTCATTAAATATAGTACTAATATCGAAGTCGAAAAGATTATAAAACCTACTTAATGCATGTGATAACGGCAAACAAATGTGAATTTGGATCCTGTTATGTAAACAATCGTACAAATAAACTGCTCACGCACATATTTTTAGGCGAGTTTCGCCAATTTCACTCAGAACAAAAATGAATGAGGAAAAAATATACATTTAAAGTGTTAGTAAAATAAAATTAAACTTACTTGATAACGACTTTTTAGTTTATATGAACCTGCTCTAGGTCTAAGTGAATACGGATAAGGGATGTTATCCCAGTCGGGTGTAGTACGAAGTGTTTCAATAAGGCTCGGATACATAGCACGTTTTTCTTCATCTGACATACTGTCATAATCTATCCCAATGGCATCCAACTCTTCAATAGGTGGTGTCTCCTTCAGTTGTATACCACCATTCAACAAGGACTCGTAGAAAGCTCTAGTCTATTTTTATCTAAAATATGAACGACAGAGAACATACGCTTTCGTTTTCTTTATATATCTCGCTCGTTTCTGAAAATAACTCCGTGAAACCACATTGGTGACATCTTAAGGCCAACACTCTTCCAACATTTTCTGCAGCTGAAACATCAATACAACTAAAAGATGTAGCATTTTCAAAAATAATACCTATATAAATGTTTTCTGATGTTAACTTCTTTAGTTGAAGCAGAGATCAGCACTTTTGAAGAAGCATGAACAACAAGACCTGTTGTATTATGAGGTTCTCTATTTAAGACTACTCTGGATTAATATAAAGTAAAATATATCAATAAAAATTACTTATTCCAGAAGTCTTTTCGTGGAGCTTGAAATTCCCAACCTTTCGTTTTCGGTGCTAGACCAAGAAGTTCAAGATTTCTATAACTATGCCTTCCGTAAAAGTTTTCTAACCTTGGGTTTTTGTTACGATACACCAAAGTAGACATCGTTTTTAAGGAAAATCTTTTTGGGACATTTGAAAAAGCACAGGAATTTAACAGATTATTTAGCATAATTTGTCCCTTCCAAATAATGAAGACTTTTTAAAATCTGAGGAACATACCACTAATCTCAACACAGCAGGACTATAAGGAAAACTTCACGTTATTGCAATTGACTATAAAAAAATTTAAACATATAGACCTAAAATGGAATTAACATGGCATTCAATTAGTTAATCATGGGTAGTTCATCATAGCTTACAAGTATTACTTGACATCCAACCCAACAATCATGAAACATTATTACGTTATTTCAGGGACCCTTAACCAAATGAATAAAGTGAGTACTCAATGTCGGACATCTGAGTGATTTCAGAAAAAGATTACAGACAAAACCCCCATATACTCACCATCAATAACCGAAAAATTTCCTGTTTGTGGCTTGAAACTGTTTCAATTCAAAGAGGAAACACTGATAGCCTGTTTTTAGTCTGAGTTTATGCACTAAAGTCCAGGAGGTAAAGAAGAGGTATTAACCAATGAGATCACCGACTTTCGGTTTAAGCCGTCAGCAAGTCCGAAAATCCTACCTAGAACCTGTAAGATAACTGCAATCTTGGGATGCGCTATGTAGCCTAAAATCAGTGGACGTGGTGCTGTCGCTTTATTCTCTATCTTGCCTTAGATCTTAAATATCCCATTGTTCCTAAACTGCCATTTTTTATCTGGATTTGTTACTTTCAAACTGCTTTTTACGCTACATGCTTCCCTTTCTACCTTAAACTCGCCAATCTATCATACTTCTATTATGAATGATATTTTGCTCAAAATCTTTACACCACTGCTGCAAAAAAGTAGTAAGTTGACATATATCATCTATCTTATCGACAGTTAAATCACAATCGTTAATCTGTACAATAAAACGGACATCAAGAATAGACTTTATTCCCAAAATGTATCTTTACAAAAGTTTCGAATTGTTTTTTTAATTAATTGGAACAACTATGCGTGGTTTGCAAGTGGGACAAGATAATTAAAGTGCTATCGTGAAAATATGGTGAGTCGAAAACTGAGAGAATAAAAAAATGAAACTTCACGCAGGAATGTATTGATTTGAGTTCATACTTTACAACAGCGCAGAAGGGAAAACGAGCCGAAATAAAGTATTTGAACTGATAAGAATACATATCGGAAGCAACAAACCAATAAGTAGTAAAATGATTATGGTTTGGAACGTATGGTGCTAAATATCAAGTCAATTAATACCTAGCAACCATTTTAAAGAATTATAATGACAAAAAAAACAGTTAACAATCTGTGGGACCAAATGAGTAGAGAAGAAGCCAAGATTGAATTACTCATTTCACACAATGTTCAACAAGAAATAAATCATGACTGTGTACGAACGGTACAATTTTCGATTGAGCTAAAAATAAGTCGTGCTCATTTCTTCCTATACATCATTTGTACTTGTAGTAATAAGATTAACAGGGTTAGAAGTTTCACTACTACTTCGCCCCTTCAATAGGTTGGAATGTACAAGTAAGTTCTCTATTTTTTCTCTTCCCTCTTCAATGATGTCATAAATACTCTCTGTTATCTGTCGATTAACCCAGTGTCCAGTTGACTTATTTCTTTGCCCAACTCCTCGTTGATTAATAACATTTGGCTGCTTAAACCAAGCTTTCTTATCTTTATAGGAGTGCCCCAACTCTTCCGGTCACAATGTCTTCTGCTTGTGTTGGGTTTTTCCTAGGTTCTCTCAGGCCCAGCCATGATTGTATATAATATCACTTCTTAACGGAACCACCATTTCAAACACAATAAGATTATCCCACTGACTTGTCACGGCTGTATCACTGAGAAGACATATGGCACATGTGCCCACTGTATTATCAAGTCTTGCTTAAGAGACGGGATGAATGTTGATTACACTAAAATAGGGACAGCCAGTGTGACACAACAGGCTGTTGTGATAAGAAATCTGAAACTTTATGTTGGCGTCCCAGTCGATGGATACGCTCGAAACTGAAGTTTTGCAGTCTTGCCAATACGTCGTTTTCTCTCCCAAAATTCTGTGGCCATAAGGGAGCTTCATAGTAAGTACTGAGTATGAAATTTATGCCAAGAAGGTACTGTCTGTACTTCCGTACGAATTTCACGACAGCTAGTATTTCTTTTCGTGTAACAATTTTTTCAGACCGGTTTAACGCTTGATTTCCAAACCTAATAAAAAGCTCTTTGTAACTGTGCCCAATTTGGGAAGACGCCGATTTAATTCCTACTTCACTTGTGTCTGTACCTAAGCTGTACATACCTGGATTATTTGTATTCTGAAGCGGCAACGACTTAGTGTATCGTCTAATTTTGAAGGTTACTGAGAACCTGAAGGTCAAAGTTTCGTAAAACGATAAATGCGTCATCTCGACAATTAATAGGGTTCCACAGAAGCGGTCAAATCGAGACAGTCTTCAAAATGGTTGAATCCAACCACAATGTCTCATAATGTCCATTCTTCAAGTAACGAAACTGATTCCGTCGTAATGACGCATGATGCAGGACAACTGTCCTTAAATGGTTCAAATGGTTCAAATGGTTGTGGACGGAATAGAAGAAGCTTTCGCTTAACAGGCTTCCGTGTCTAGTAGCAGGGGATCACCAAATCCTCCAGGCAGGAACCTAGGTATGTTAACAATAAAAAGGAAAAGAAATTGGTAAATCATAATGTGATGCTGTCCTTGGTCCTTAAGAATAGGTCAAGTTGCCTCTTGAAGGACTCCTGAGAAGTCGCTTGGACTAGCTCGGCCGGCAGCGAATTCCAGCTTTTGACAACTCTTAAGGAGTAGAAGTTGTGTCTACATTCCGTCTTGCTATGTTGTGTTTCCAGTTTCTGGGTGTTACCCCTTAGGTTATTATTCGAACTAAGCTTAAGTAGGTGTTTAAGAGGATGTCCAGAAGTGTTAAGAATACTGTAAGCCATTAGTAAATCACCTCTAAGACGCCTATATTCTAGTGGGTAAAGGTCTAGTGAACGGAGGCGTTCTTCGTAAGGCTTAGATTTGAGTCCTCGAACTGATTTCGTGGCTCGCCGTTGGATACGCTCCAAAGTGACCTTGTCCTTCTGGAGTGAGGGGGGAGTACTATGTTTCCGTACTCTAAATGGGGACGGATAAAACTATTGAAGATTGTGTGGAAAGTTCGTCCGTCAAACTGTCCAAAAATGCGCTTCAACGTTACCAGTGCAAGGTTTGCTCGGAAGGCATTTTTGTCACAGTTAGCGTAAGACTTTAAGTCATGGGGTACCAGGACTCCTAAATCTTTTTCGACTTGGGATACTACTAGAGAGGAGTTTCCTAAGTTGTAACTGTAGTTTGCTACATGTCGCAGATGGACTACTTTACACTTTGAAGTGTTAAAGGTAAGTCCGTTATCGTCTGCCCAACTTTGAAGTCGCGTCAGATCATCCTGAAGTGCCTGTGTATCGTCTTGGTTGCGTATCTCTCTCCAAAGTTTCACGTCGTCGGCAAAAAGTAATAAATCTGACGTTACCTGTTGAGGAAGATCATTTATGTAGATCAAGAAGAGAAGAGGCCCTAGTACTGAGCCCTGGGGGACCCCACTAGGACATTCCATAGCCTGAGATAAAGTGAAATTAACCCTAACCTTAAAGTGTCGATTTTTTAGGTATGAAGTAAGCCAATCGATTAGAGGTGGTTTGATACCTAGTCGTTTGAGCTTGTTGATAAGACACAAGTGGTTAACCTTATCAAAAGCTTTTGAGAAATCAAGGTAAATGACGTCAACCTTTCCCTTGCAATCGAGGATGCTTGTCCATTTGTCCACCGCAGTCAGCAGGTTGGTTATACAAGAGTAACCCTTCCTGAAACCATGCTGTTGGGGTGAGAAGAAATTTAAGGACAGTAGATAGTCATTTAAACCGTCGCATATCAGGGACTCCATGAGTTTTGAAGGTAATGACAGAAGAGCCACCGGCCGATAACTTGAAGGTTCATTGCGTCGACCACCTTTGAAAATTGGTGTGATGTGAGCCAACTTCCAATTTTCCGGTAATTTGCCTCGGCTAAGCGAGTGTGAAAACATCACGCTAAGCGGCGTTGCCAGGATTGAGGCTGCCTCCCTCAGTATGGCAGGATGAACCATATCCGGGCCAGGAGAAGTGTCAAGTCTTAAGTGCTGCAATTTCCGGAACACCAAGTCAGCGCTTAGGTCCACTTCAGAAAGTCCTGTGGAGTTGGAGATGAAACTGTCGTCAATAAAGTTGATGTCAGCCGGTTGAAATGTTTGAGAGTAATGGGCCGCCAGAAGGTTAGCGGCGTCGCCATCGTTGTTGGTCGGGCCGTTAAGACCTAGCAGTTGAGAAACTCCTGTTTTGGCTTGACGAAGAGAGGCTGCATAACGGAATAGGCTTCTAGGGTTAGAGGCGAATTTGTCCATAAGCTTTGTTTGGTACTGAAGCCTGTCTTCTCTTATAGCCTTCGTGCATGTGTTCCTGATATGTTTGTATTGCCTATACGCTCCATCGTTATTAGTTCGTTTGTATTCCGCCCAACAGTGCCGTTTGCGGCTTAGGAGGCGAAGGGTACGGTTCTTGATTACTGTAGGTGGCTTGAAGCTTTTGGGAACCGTTTGAGGAACTGAATGGTCTGTAGCACATAAGAGCGTGTGCAGTAAAAAGTCCCAATGACCATCCACATCGATTTGAGGGTGAACATCCCAAACGACCTGTTGTAGATAGTCATGTAGAGCTGGCACGTTCAGCCGTTTAAAATTCCAACGCAAATTATTGTTGGGATACCTTAGCTTAGTTTTGATGACAAAACTGAAGGCTATGACGGCATGATCGCTTTTTCCCAGAGGAGCCAGGATTGAGAGGTTGTCGACTAGGAATTCTTCGTTAGTGAATACACAGTCTAAGCGCGATGGTGTCTGACTGTTTCTCCAACGAGTTGCCGACCTCACATTTTCATATAAGCCCAAGTTATCGATGAGGTTGTAGAACCGAGCTTCAATTGAGTTGTCGCCTCCAGTGTACGTGTGTTCCGCGAAGTTGACTCTAGGGAGATTAAAGTCCCCTAGAATCAGGATGTGTGTGAAACCGAGACGGATAGAGCGGGATAGTCCTTCCAGCATACGACTATCGTACTCGGTGTCGGCAGTTGGCTTCCTGTAAATGACTCCGACTAGACACCTGGAAGTACTAGACAGTCTTACAGAGCACCATATGGATTCCTCAAGATTGTTAAACTCGAGGTTGTGAACCTGGTGCACCTCCAAGCAAGAGCTTATGTATATGGCTACTCCGCCCCCAATTCCTGTTTTTCTGTCGTTGCGGAACAAAGTCATCCCAGTCAATGCTAACTCTTGGTCCGAGAACTGAGAAGATATCCAGGTTTCAGATATTCCTATCAGATGGGCCTTATTAGCGCTGCTAAGTTCACGTAGTTCATCCAGTTTGTTTGGTAGACTCGCGGCGTTCATATATAAGCAGTTTATGCTTTCAATTTGGAACGCGTGAGCTTCGTCCTGTTTTTCTGTATGAACCTTGTGTGAATGGACAGGTAGCCCACCTATATGAGGTTTGCCGAGGTGGTAGGCCCTGTCCTTTACACGTTTTTTTTATCGTTTAGACAGTCCACAAGTGGAATGGTCAGCTCCAACTTGCCTTTGTTCTTGGTCCTAACTTCGTATGGCCTATCCGGGTGCATGTGGATTCCAGGTGGCAATCGACGTCTATTAGCACGAAATGCTTCCAGAACTGCAGCCGCCATGTGGGAAGATGGGAAGGTTATCTTCATTAGACGGGGTCTAAGATCACCGTCCTTCTTGGCTAGTCTCGTCACATGCTGAGTCAGTATGTGTTTGAGCCTCAAGGACTGTTTGATGAATTTCCATTCCCTGATGTCAGAATTTGATTGAGTAGGGTCTGCATTTTCCGGTATACCTTGGACAATTATGTTTCTTCCGCGGAAAAACTTCTCGCGAGATTCTTTAGGGACGTTTCGTATGATATTGCGCTCAGAGTACGGTATGTCGGGCAATATTCTTACGTTACCATCTGATTTCAGCAAGTGACTTGCTAGCAAGACGTCCTCTACGTCGGTAGCATTCTTAAGTGTTACTCGGAGAAGCCTCGGGTGATTTAGATGCTTAGAATCCTTTCCTCGAGTGAGCCGGGTGACCGTCAAAGGCTCTATTCTAGGAAGTTCAAGCTTCTTGTTCAATTCACCCCAGAGCATCCTGTCGTTTTTGTCCTGCAGACTGAGAGGAAGATCAGGATTGTCAACGAGGTTCATGATAATGAGAGAATCGTCACGAACTGTTGTTAATTTACCAGGTTTCACGATGGGTTCAGGTTTAGTAACTTGTTGTTTGGAGGTCAGTGTGCGTTTTTGAATCTTGGGCTCTTTATTGACCGGACGAACAGTCTTGGGGGTAGACTGTGCGACTAAATCACCAGTTATTTTCCGTGCAGCAACACTTGGGTTGCTCGGCTTAGGCAGTGATGCCTGGTTCTTTTGGGCTCTCTTAACGTGGGTCGAATCACCTGCAGGGTTTTTGGGAACCACTGTTGTGTTTGGGGACCCTGAGCTGGGAGACCCGAGTTTGCCTAGGGAGTTCAGTACCGTCGACGTAATGATGGTACTGAGCGAAAATCTAACTCGCTAAAAACACGCTAACCAGGGAAACAATTCAATACCTCAACTTAATTACTTACGCCTGCTACTCCTCGTCGTAGAGTATATACCGCCCGCCAAAATTCTATATTCAACTCTGCCCTGGACAATCTTTTCCGGTTGCTTCCAGTTGCTATTCATCCTTTTCATGTCTGCCTCCTATTCCCTACGCAGTGTATTTATTATTAATATCATTATTCACGAACATCTTATGGGTACATGGTCATCCGCTCTTCCGTTTCCTTCCGGGATTCCAGGTTGACGCTCGCTTCGTTATGCAATTTAATGATTTCCGAAATGTACTTTTCACGCACCGCTTGCAACATCTTTTTCTAATTTCCTCACCAGATGGAACCTGGTTTGTCCTCGCCCACACTGTCAAAATCGATTGTTCTCAATGACCATGGCTATGCTTCTTGATAACCAGACGTTTGTTATTGTAACTTTTTTACTTTGACATAAGTTCACTTATACGGCCATCAACTTATTCTTACAGTGTCACGGCAGGGAGCGTGTACCCTAAAGTCTTATATAATAGTCTGACTACGGAATACAAGGACGTCGGTTCGCGTTGATATGTAGCAATTTTCAAGTTAGTGCCTGCGTGATTGGTGGTCCGGACCGTTTACCAAATACTTCAACCCTGAACTTAGTGAATTAAACAACTAAGTTAAATTCGGTACTACTGTACTACTTAGAAATCAAATAACAGTTGCTTTTTGCCTCGGTATACATCGGTAAGACTGAGTGACTGACATCAATTTGCTATATTATTAGATAAAACATCGACTCACGGTTTTAACCAGTGCTTTTTCGTCAATGATCAGAGTCTCTATCATGAAAGTATCTCATCTGTTCTTCGTTCTAGGTGGTTTGTCATTCGCAACCTACCAGCCCTTTCTTCACTTCTGCAGGTATGTTCATGTAATGAGTTCGGAATGATTTTTCTTCCCTTGAAAACTTAATAGGACTCAGACATTTATTTCCTATACCTATAGTCATTACCGCAGATAAAGGATAGTTACTAGCCATTTGATTCTAACGCATTTATTCATCGAACGATAAATAGGGGTGAGTGGTCAAAGTTGTTCATGAGATATTCATGTTACAGCATGTATGTAGTACAGGTATGTGCATATTGGGAACCAGTTACGTCACTGACCATCCTGTCACCTAGTTACTCAAAAAATACTGAAACACATGTAAGATCTAATTCATTGTATTGAAAATCATTTAAAACAACATGATTTTAAACTTTCTAATGGGCATGCATGGCAAGTGAAATGTCTCCGAAACCTGGTTGAATACTCCAGTTTTTGGGTCGCTGAATGTCGAACAACTTATCGATCCCCGTCAAGGTCAAGGAAAACCAGCACACGCCATGAATTGGCTGATGCAGTGGCGGTCACTTCTTTGCTTGTACTTACTTTAACTAATATATTTCCGTAACAACGTTCTTTGTGCTGTGCAGTCCTCAAAGCATCCGTAGTACCTTGATACGACGAAGGAGTAATTCACGTTAGGTGCTCACTGCGAGGCGTAACTTCGACGTTAGCTATTGGTCACAACATTCTTGTCTAACTCCAGTAGGCCCCTAATTATTCAACATAGATCATCTTCTTTGATGATCTACAAATGTGCAGACGCTGGATATCTATTCACGTTTTATGAGGACATTATAATTATTTTCGCTCCATTAATAAAGGGAAATTCTCCAAACTGGCAATGTCTGTTAAAAAAAGTAAATAAATGGTTATTAAACTGGTACAATGAAAATATTCATAAAACTGGAGGAATGTACGTTAAGGTACGGAATTCTTGTTTCTGTGACTGATTTATACTTTGTGATTCCTTGTATTATAGAGAAGTCGGTGTTCGAAAGTCAAATTTATGATTGTAAAATCTCGCGAATTCCAATGATTAGGCAGCTACCTTGGTTTGATATGGATTAGTTCAAACAACTGCCACCTGCCTTTGATGTTCATGAGACTGAAGTCTCATCCCATACTTCCTCTTCATTTCTCACAAGTGTCACTCAAGCAACCAATTAAGCGAAATAAAGCGGACGACAAAGTAAATAATAGGAAAAGTCGATTTTTGCCCCCTTACATCGTGTATTTGCAGGAAATTTGCAGACAAACATATGTAAGGTACCTCGTTTGAATATGCAGCCTCCTGTACTAACTTTCCCATAAATATTTACAAACCAGTGAATTGTTTTATAACAAACGAGAACAACCATCGTTGACGCATGTCTAAATATACAGACACAATGAATTTCGTGAGATCTATATACCCAAAGTTTGTTGTTTTTGTTTAACCAGGCTGTTCGCATATACTTGGTGACAATCATACATAGCTTACGACGTGCATGTAAATAGCTTGCTCTCTGTGTTTGTGCTCATTGTCACTAATTACCTTGTTCGTCCTATAAGAAGTATTCAGTAAACGTCCGTGAGAGTGTTCATAGTCGTGAGGGCAACAATGGGCCTATCAAGTTCACCCGCTTGTCATAGGTCGACATATAACCGTAGGTGGAATAAAATGCGATGGACGCTCATGAAAAAACACGACTTCCTTTCGTGTAGTTAACTTGCAAATGAAAGCATGATCAACGGTAATTGGATTTACCAGTGATTTATGTTGCCGTTTATGCAGTCACCACTGAATTTCATTGTGATGAGAATCTATCAACAGTGATAGCATCTGGTAGCCACTGTAACGAAAGGTGACTGGATGATAACGGCACGTAAAGGAATTGAATCCATTTATCCGTTTCCTGTAGGATGTAATGAAGTTTGCTCGTGTTCACAAGCGTACCTAAACCAGGAAGAACAGATTAACATGACACTTATGAGTTTGATGAAAAACGGCTGTCAAACCTTCAAATATGCTGATCGCATCCTGAACGCTTTTCGAAATCTTGTCCCTGACTTACCAAGCAGCATCAATGTCCAACCCAAGTTCGTCAGCAGTGAAGTTTACTAACATCTCGGATTAAGAACCAACCTGCCAAGATATGTCCAACTTTGATTGTGTACTTTTGGTATTAATATGTTTGATTTGCATATTAGTGTAGATGAACTTTCTAGTTCGAGGAGCTCTAGTCATCAGTTATGATCTATATCAGGACGCATCGTTGCCCCTAGGTTTTATGACATGTCCATGATAGGTATCTATGGAATTCAATGGAATATCTGCGGACACCATTTCGGAACTGAAAAAACTGAGGGACTCTTGTCTGCTTGGTGTTATGTCCGTCAAACTGGTAGCTGTAGTACGTGGCTCACCTGCTCGTTTAGATGTTAGGTGCACTGTTGATCACAATGGGAATGCAGACTAAAATAAGTGTGTCGCTGTGGGTTGGTGCATTGCGGAAAGATGACCATTCGAAAGGGTGAATATACATTGGGAATTGATGATAGTTTTCGTCAATAGATTCAATCCTTTTGCCATCAAGGCCATTCAAACTTCGAAATGCTTAGCATTGATATGATTCTAACTTCCACTTTAGGTCAAGTGCACATGATATGCTTAAGTTTGATAAAGAAACTAATCAGACCATGGATAAAGTTGTCCAACAAAAGACTATGTAACATGGAAAAGTATGTGGTTTGAGATATAAATAAATTAATATCAAGTTGTATACCAAGTACTCCTTCCAACGTTCAGCGTAAATGTTGAATATTAGACTTCATTTCAGTATGGAAAGCGACAGAGTGTCGACTGTTCCTTCTACATTTAGGTCCCGTGATTCTTCAAAAATGTTTACCACAAACCTTTTACGATACTTTTAAGAGTTTAGTATTAGCGATGTATTCGGTAGCGCATCCAAGATTACATAAAAGCGCAACGGAATCAGTCATAACTTATTTACTCAATTTTCTCAAGGGATATGGTCAGGAGAACTTATTTTATAATGTGCATTTATTAAAGCACCTACCTGACGACGTCAGTTCACAAAGAGCTTTGGATTACTTTTCCGACATCCTACTAGAGTCTCACATGAGGCAGATTAAGAGGCAGTGATATTTCAGTGTCCATGCACTTGATGATATTAGTCGAAAAAATCTTACATTTCAGCGAGTTTTCTGAATCTCTTTAATATAGTACTCAGCTCTTCTACTAGCTATCTTCGTAAGACTATTCTCGGCCTAAACACTTGTTATCCGTACAAGAAGCAGTAACGCTGAGATGTTGGTTTGGTCCCTGGTGAAAGCTACATATAACTGTACAGATCCGTGAAACCATCAAGTTGTGGATGTTCTGAATGGCGCCAGTTCACCCTGGTATTTGTGACAGACGTAGAGGCGAAGCAGACGAGAAAAGGCAATACATAACATCTCGTCATATTACCTGCAAGATCCATTTTGAGTGTTTCGTATATGGAAATCTCTCCACATACATACTAGTTTATTCTTCTTGATTTCTTAAGACGTATATATTGCTTGTCTTTTTGATTGGATATGAGGTAGTGCTACTTGTATTTTATTGTTGCTCTTGTTTTCCTAACTGTTTCACTGAAATTCCATGTTTTCCTGAACAGAACTTACGTTGTTTTAGTTTCCACTTAGATATGGCGGCAGCTATATTGATTAACTCCCTTTTTTAGATTACATTGCTTAAATTGGCTGGAATTGTGAATCGAAGGACTCTTCCAGAATACTTCTCCATAACCTGAGCTCGCACTTAATCATCTAATAATCCTTCGGTAATCTGGTGTGTGATGATATTCTGCACCGAAGTGAATAGTTCCTCCGGACGCTCCAACGAAGCTAATTCCTTTAGACACTACAAGTACATTATAAAATTTTTTCTCTGTTTGCAACCATGAAAGAATCACCGAGATTCAACGACGTGACGACGG